CATAACCTATGGCAATAACAGCATTTAATAAGCTTTCCAAACACAGGTCAGCGCACAGGTCCTGGAACTTGCAGTTTATATCCTCTGAAGTCCAAGTCATACAGTCATGGTGCCGTTGGCCTGGTGCGTCTATGACACAGCCCTCACAGTCTTTGAAAAGCTTCTCCTTTAGGCAGTGATTAAGGACAGCATAAACAGCAACACATACAATAGACTGCATGATTTTTTTTACGCTCATGACACAGCACTGGCTCTGTTAGTTCTATGCCAAGGGTTCTCCTTAAATCCATATAGCTGTCATCCTCAGCGTCCTCATCAGCAACTTGTACCGGCATTGAGCAAAAATAAGATGGGCTCAATTCATCTTCGCTGTCTGATGCAATGCTCTCCAGGGCCTCTAGAAAGGTATCATTGAGCTGTCAAGAGATTTTCAGAAAAGAAACAACTGTAAGCCCCACGCCTATTTTTTTTTAAGATTTACACAACCCCGGCTCAGCTCCTACTGGTTCCATGCAGCTCATTGGTCTGCCTCACAAATGGTTGGGTTTTGGGGTCGGGTTCCAGCGTATCCATCAACAGCTGGGTCAAAAGGCTCCCTTCAGCCGCTCCCTCCTCCTCCTCGGAACTATCTATCACTGATGTAGTGCTTTCTCTACAGGCATTTGAAGGCCTTCGGCGCTAAAACAAATTCTGAAGTTTTCACAGAGGTGGTGAAAGAGTCGATGTTTCCTCTCAGTGTTTCCACGATTTCTGAAACACGCATTCTTGAAATAAGATGGCCTCTTCTGTGCATCGCTGGGATTTACGGGCCGGGTTCTGCCAGCCGGCCAACCGTCAAGGTCCACAGATTGGGGGGGTTCCGGCTTAGACCTACATGCTACCCCTATTCTGATTGGTACACATTTCTCTTTTGGGACAGCCTAAGGGGGCTGAAACCCACCCCAATTGGTAGAGAGCAATGGGAGGAGTTCTTAGAGGGGTCACATGACCCACTTCCAGATGGCTCACCCCACCCCCGAACTTCTCCCAATTGGTCAAATCTCCTCTTGGGGTGGTCATATGGGGGCAAAACCCATCCCAATTGGTAGAGGACGATGGGAGGAGTTTTTAGAGGGGTCAGAGGACACCCCTTGCTTTGAGTCATGTATCCATCTTGACCCCGGAAGTAATACCCCACATGACAGGTCTTAGGGTGACAGATGGGCAGGGCCTGACAGGTCAGGGACGGGGACAACATTTGATTGCTGGTAAGCCCCTTATAATATCAGCAAAGTGCTCCTGGTGTGACTGCAGTTTATATTTGCAAAATTGAGCTTTTGCAGGTAAAGCTTATTCTAGCCTCCCCAAGCAAAATAAGCTATCCCAGTGAATTTTTGCTGGTATGACTGTGTCTACACTAGGGACAGTTATGTCAATCAGAGATCACACCTCTTACACATCCCTAACCAACCTAGCTCTGCTGACAAATGTTTGTAGTGTAGACCTAGCCCTAGTTTAAATTGTAATGTTATGTCCTGGGAATCCCAGGATGTAGAAACTTGAGCTAAATTAGAGCTGCCCATTGATATTTGCAATTTTTACTAAATTATTTTGTTCACAGACATTTTAGACATGTAAAAAATCTATTAGCTCATCTTATTCATCCTTCTTACCATGCAGAGTTGTTCCCTGTTTTCTAGTGCTTTGCCTACTTTAGTTTAAATGATTAAAGCAATGGGGCTTCCAACATTTCCATAATAAGATAATTCCACAGTCTAAGAAGTCTCACTGTTAAGAAATACTTCCTGTTGTGTTATTTCGGTATATTCTAATGTGTGGGGTGAATGTATAGCTCATGAAACCAACTGGGCATAGTGCAGAAAAGCAATGTGTAAGCCCCCTCACACAATTTGCCCATGCACCTCCATTTTAAACTGTAACGCCCTTTACTATTCCATTTCTGAACCTCTCTCTAAAACTCCTAATTGTACGCAATTGTAATTAGTGTTTGCGATGCAGACTCTTATCCAGCAGGGACCAGGATGTGATCAAACAGACTTGGATCGCTCATTACAGTAGTTCTCAACCAGGGGTCCGGGGCCCCCTAGGGGCCTCAAGCAGGTTTCAGGGGGGCCTCCAAGCAGGGCCAGCATTAGACTCGCTGGGGCCCAAGGCAGAAAACCGAAGCCCCACCGCATTGGGCTGAAGTCCAGTCCCTGAGCCCCGTTACCTGGGGTTGAAGCTGAAGCCTGAGCAATGTAGCTTCATGGGGGCCCCTGTGGCATGGGGCCCCAGGCAATTGCCCTGCTTGCTACCCCCTAACACCAGCCCTAGCTTTTATATGCAGAAAACCAGTTATTGTGGCACAGGTGGGCCGTGGAGGTTTTCTAGTATGTTGGGTGGGGACTCTCAGAAAGAAAAAGGTTGAGAACCTCTGACTTATTACTTTGTAATGACTAAAGAAAGTAGAAAGCAACAGAGTGTCCTGTGGCACCTTTAAGACTAACAGAAGTATTGGGAGCATAAGCTTTCGTGGTTAAGAACCTCACTTCTTCAGATGCAAGTAATGGAAATTTCCAGAGGCAGGTATAAATCAGTATGGAGATAGAGGTTAGTTCAATCAGGGAGGGTGAGGTGCTCTGCTAGCAGTTGAGGTGTGAACACCAAGGGAGAAGAAACTGCTT